GAATAAATACAATCCAAAAGCTCACATAAAAGTTTACTTTACTGTATACCCCAACAGGCTGCTCGTGGTCTGACTTCGAGTAACCGACGGGACAGTACTCGGCTTGGCTTTCTCGCGACGGTGTGTACGAGCAGCGAACGAAAACAATCGGAAAAAGCTTCTCGCCAGGGGTGATGGAACTGGTTGCTGCTCTGCGGGATGGTGATGACGATGACGACCGGATTGGCGAGGGAAGGGAGTGAGGGTGAGGGAGAAGATTTCTTTTTTTTTTATCGAACTTGCGAGAGAGAGGTATGGGATATAGGGTCTGCGTGAGTTATGAGAAAGAGATGGGAGGATTACACGCTTAAATAGGCCAGCTTAGGGTTTCCTCCTTCCTAACTTATCTTGCAAGCAATTACCGAGAGAAAGGAAAACGGGTCGGGTTCCCTCCTTGGTTCGATTCTTACTACATACGAGGCTCGGGCTCTCGGTTCGAACGAACGTTGCGAATAAACAAATAACGGACAAGTGTATATATTTATTTATATATACAATACACACAATAATATTTATTTAATTAATAACAATCATTTAGAGAAATAATAATAATAATAATAATAATAATAATAATAATAATAATAATAATAATAATAATAGCAATTAGGCATTTAAGCAATTAATAATATTTAGACAATCAACAATAAATATAATAAAGCAACAATAAATATAATAAATATAATAATTAATTCCAAAATAATTCTCACATAATGGGGCGTTACACCGACCGTATGTGGGAGGTCCATTGTGCATACGAATCTTCTTCCTGATGAACACCTTCTTAGGAATCATTTGAATTCTTGCTTCTCAATTCTTGCTTCTTCGAGATTCGACTTTTTTGCCTTGGTAATTTGGGAACGATGGAGATGGAGGGTTTTTTTTTTCAGAAAGAAATTGGGAAAGTGATTGTGGGAAGAAGTGGGAAAGTCTGTTCTATTTCGTGCCTTTTCATTTCTTTTTCCTCCTTTTCCACGTGTGTCGGCATGTGGAGTTTTTATTTTTTTTTTTTACTTTATTTTGTGGCTCCACGTGTAGAAAAGGAGGCCAGCGTGGGAAATCCGGCTCCACGTAGGCCAAAAGAGCCGTTAATTTCCATCCCGTGCGTGTTTCCATGCAATTAATGAGTTTCCGACGAGTGGGGAATGAATCTGCAACTTTTTTTCAAAGTTAGAGGACGAAACTCAAATTGACTATTCGAAAAGGACTAAAATGTTCAGAGGGGTAAACTTACAAGACAAAAAATGCACTTTTCACATCAAATTTAATGTATCTCTTTGGTCACGGATAATTTAATGTCGCGGTTTTGGATAACGCCCAACTTGGTGTATTTTTCTTAAATTTTGTTGTACGGTTAATGCACTCCCGATTTATGTCATGTCATGTTTTATGTCGTAAAAAAGGTATGTTAAAAAGCATCTAGAAAAAATACTTCAACATTCTGATGGAGCTGCAATGAAGGGGAAGTAAAATCAATTGGTCAAGTTGGCATCAACTGACCCTTCCAAAATGAGGAGGTTCAGGGTTAAAAATCTTCTAAATTTTAATATGGCACTTCTCACAAAACAATTGTGAAAAAACCTTTCAAACTCAGACTATTTGTGTAGTAGACTAATCATTAACTAGATATATGAAAAGAGGGCCTTGGTGGAAGTTTACCGTAAAAAATAACAGCTTTTTGTTGTGAAAAAGTTGTGTGAGGGTATAAGAGGTCATAAGGACTGGTTTACGAATAAAGATGGGAACTCAGAGAAGTACTAGAATTTCAAATCAACCATGGATAACTTCTTGTCTTGATTTTTTAATCAAAACTGACTAGTAGCTATGAGGATCACCACAGTCTTGAATAGGTAAGACATTTTCTGGAGGATGATGGTTGAAATTGGGATGTCAAATAAATCATAAGCATCTTTGTAGAGCATGATGCTAATGCAATCCTTAGTATCCCACCAAAGAATCTGTATAGCATTGATACAGTAGTTTGGCATCATGATCAGAGCGAGATCGGCTTACAAAATCTCTCTTAAAGCTTGAGCATGTTAGAAGATACTCTTGAGAGTAGCATGGTCAATAACAAGTTAAGAAGAATGTGGCATATCTCTTGGACCCTCAAAGCGAACAGAAACTAAAACACTTCATGTGCAAATTTTGAATAATGCGTTATCAACATGTAATTTATGAAAAAGAAAATCACAATCTAACATCAGAACTGTGTGGGGGAGGAAGTTGAAAAAAGGGAACATGTTTTCTTCAAATGTGAACGAGCTTCAAAAGTCTGGAGAAAGGCACCTGGGATGCAAGGAAAATATGAGGGTTGTTTTTAGGACTAGTGGATCAATATATGTGATGGTAGAACTTAAATTTATAGAGAACGACAACAACTGACAACGTACATCTTATGGTGGCTATGGAAGGCACAAAATCTTTGATTTAAAAGAAAAATGTGGTTCACACCTAACAAAAATGTGGATTGAGCTCAATAAGAATGGCTTGAATTTTTAAAAATCACCTTATACTGAGGAATTAATCGTATCGGACTTTGTTTTATTTATTTTGTTTATTATGGTGAGCAGTTAGCATAAAGCCTAGGACTTGATTTTGCATCCAATACTCACTTTATGCGGTTCCTTTTGGATTGTCTTCTCATCTCAAGTTTATCTGTAAAGATGGATCTACTGGTTCTTGTGGTTTTGTTGTCTTGTTAGAGTCCGACTTTATTGTGTTTTTTTTTTATGTTCTCACCAAGCTTAAGACTTGTGGAGGTTTTGGTTATTTTAGCAAATTTCTCCTGATTTTATCTATTTCTGTTGTTTCTCTGGTATGTAGGGGTGTTCAATTGGTCGAAGTTGAACCGAACCAACCGAAATTTTAGTGTGTCCAATATTAAAATAAGAAACTGATCCGAAATTTGTGGTTCTCTTCGGTTTCAAACTAAAACATAATCGGTTGGGTGTTCAATTGGTCGAAGCTGAACCGAACCAACTGAAATTTTAGTGTGTCCAATATTAAAAAAAGAAACCGATCCGAAATTTGTGGTTCTCTTCGGTTTCAAACTAAAACATAATCGGTTGGATCGGTTCGGTTAACCAGAGAATTTAAAAAAATGACAAGTCAAGTTACAAAAATAAAAATAATTAGATAATTAATACACTAATCTAACCTAGATAAAATGCATAAAAAAAAAAAAGATAATAACTAGTCAAAAAATACAAGTCTATCAAATCTCATAAGCATCACTAGGTGTCCCAAGTCTATATCAACCTCATATATACACAAGACTAAAGATAGAGTGTTGTGTGATACGAGCATATTTGAAAAATTACCGAATTGAAGTATGAGCTGTTAAGCTAGGCTATTGTATTTTTATTTTAATTTGATTATTTGTGTAGGAAAAAAACATGGACATAGGTTAACTAGTGGACATAGGAATTTTATTTACTTTTTTCTAAATTCTTTTGTATCAATAGTTTTAGGTGTAGATAAGTTATAATTTATAGGGCTTTGTAAATTTATGTACAATATTGATTTTCGATTCGATTCGGTTTATCAAACACTTATAATCAAATTGAACCGAAAACTGAAATTTAAAAAAA